TCGATAGTGGGTCTCGTTGAAATCTCGTTACATAGGCATCGGCTCAGATGTAGGTAGGGCGGAATTAAAAAAAAATCACAAAATCAAAATCAAAGTAAAATAATAAAATAAAAGGGCATTAATAACAAATATAATAACAAAGAAAATTAAAATAAGTTTATAGCCAAAATAATTAAAGCCCGTACACTACATCAGATTTTAATCAGATTGGGGGTTCATATAACCAAATAAAAACCTGGACTCTGATCCAATTGAATTCTAAAAAGATGTAACATGGGGCTCATATAATCAAATAAAAACCTGAAACCTGAACTCTGACCCAATTCAATTCTAAGAAGACGTAATATGGGGTTCATATAACCAAATAAAAACCTGAAACCTGGGCTTTGACCCAATTGGAATCTAGAAGACATAAAATGGGGTTCATATAACCAAATAAAAACCTGAAACCTGGACTGTGACCCAATTTAATTCAAAGAATACGTAATATGGGTTCATATAACCAAATAACAACTTCCTGAAACCTGGATTCCCAATTCAAACGCTGTAATGACATCACTAAAGTTGAATAACTGATGCTCATCACTTTGTTCCATGGTGTCATTCAGTCGGCCATTTTGTGCCCTACTTCTTTTTTAGATGTACTTTTCCTGATATTGATTTCAAGACCAATTTCGTTTAAATTTGGTACAAAACTAAGCAATACGCAATACCTAATGAGCGTCATGTTCGTGACAATTTGTTTGTGCTTTGGACGATTTTGTTTGGCACCCTACATGTCATTGACAATGGTTTGTTAATCTCATAATCGCTCTCATACTGTATTCTAAAAATGATTTACCAATATTATGTCAAATTTAATAAACAACATATAGGTGTTCATGAGCTCAACAGAACATCTTTTCTTTGATTTTCACGATCAGAACTCATCATCCCCAATAGAGATGTGTGTAATCTTTAATAGCAGCTCCTAAGAGCTCCTTAGACACATGCAATACAATGCACAACAATATAGATAAGCCATTGGCATAACTATAAATATACCCAAGCAGACTCTTCTAGCAACATTTACTCGAATCATTTACTGGTGTAAGCTGTCCATAAATGTATTGATATAAATAATTCCAGTGTCATTTACATATTTGTCATATATAATGTCCAGGTAACTAATCATAAACAATTAAAATTGTGTGATTTGACAATCCTTCTCATACCACCTGGTTCGCTCTGACATTAAGTCACCTACCCCCTGGTACGTAGTTTTGTCAGTCAGTTTATAAATAGACATAACATGTGGCACAGGATGTGCTGACTCCTCTCCACTGCATGCCTATTCTCGGACCTGTAGCTACATCACAGAACGTTCTACATTGCTGAGACGCCTTTTCGGCCTTTGTTTTCACCGTTATGGTTGCAAGGCGGTGAAAATGCCCGGATGTCCGCCCGAGAATATGTTGCATCATATTTGACCAGTCAGTTATTTTGTTCTCATATTGTTTATTTATCATTGTTATTTTACATTTGTTATAGATCCTATATTTTAAGAGTGACGATGCTTCTTACAGTGGGAACATCATAGTATTAGAACCACAATGGTTCTGTGAGAGAGTTATTGGTCCTATGTTAGCTTCCAATGTATTCAACCAGTATACACATCGGCTGGGAATGAAAGAAATCTACACCCGACCAGAGCTAGAGAAGGTCCTTAATGACAGAGCCGATGTTGAGCTACTGGTCAAGTTGCTTGAGGCTTTTGAGCTTTTATTTCCATTGACACGTGGTTCCGGCAGCGTTGCGTATTCATATATAATTCCCGGATTGCTTCCCAGTGATATGCCAGATAATCAATGGCGGATGAGCGCCACCAAACGACGTTACTTTGGCAGGCGTGTCCATTGTCTGCAGGATACTGATAACTTCTCGCCTGGTTTCTTTTCACGTCTTCAGACGCGCCTTTATTTGCACTTCACTAGTCTGGGTCACCGGCCCAGTGGAATATGGAGGAATGGAATAAAAGTTTGTGACAGTGTGGAAGGGCTGGTCTACATGACCGATGACAGGAGAGCAGTACATGTGTGCGTCAGGACAGAAGATGATGAAGAAATTGGAGAATGCTCTCGACTGCTTAACCTCGTCACGCAAGACATATATGATGTGCTGCGCACCTCGTGTCCAGGAACAAATGTTGGAATGTGTATTCTAAGTCCACAGTCACTCAGAGATCACGAAAACCCGGAAGATATCTGCTACTACACTTTACAGCAGGTGTGCGAGGCTGAAATTCAGAAGAGAAAAGTCTATGACGAAATAGTTGGTCGAACAGAGGTCATAACAGATCTACTCTGTCCAGGACATGACAGGACTTTTCTCGATATCCAAAGGTACCAATGCGATGTGAAGTGGCTGCTACAGAAGACAAAGGAAGAACTGATTGAGAATCTAGAAATAGAGGACCCATCAGGACTCCGTGATCATCGAATCATGGCACAATACATGGGAATATCGAATTCAGAAAGACAATACATGGCCAGGGTAGCTTACAAGAGAAACACCACGGTCACCGAAATGATTCTAAATAAATGGTCTGAAAATTGGGCGAAGAAGAGGAAACGAGATGGCCCATCAGCTGTGAAATATGAAAATACGTCGTATGGTGTGTATTACTATGAAAGCAGTATTGACAATCTACTTAAAATCATTAATGAAATCGACCATTATGACGTGAAATGTGCAATAATTGATATGTTTGAATTATTGCAAAGACATCCAAAGGATGTTGGAGTTTAATTCAAACGAGGTCATGTGACATGTAAACCAATGCACGAGATGAACTAAGGCTCCGACGCATGCGCATGCGCATGCGCATGCGCATGGAACTCTTGTTCTCAACGAGATATGTGTGTCCATTCGTGATTAAGGTTTATTAGCATAGCACAGGAAAAGTGGACGTGATGACTGCAAAAAATGAAGCACTATACCGAAAAGCAAAATCAAGTCACATAGAACTCGTTTTCAATTTTTAAAGAAAGTTTATTATTGTAACTTGTACATTCAATGGATGGTCTTTTATAGTCGTTTTATGACCTTTATAAGACCACATTTCGTCCAAAGTCTCAGGATTTCACGTAACAATGGATAGGACATAGATGAATACAATCATCTATAATTTTAAAATTTTGTTTTTCAGATGATCGTGTTTCATCCCATTTATGATCTCATAATAGACCGTCACACTTGTTTACTTTATGCGCGCGTGCGCAGTGACTGGTTGACAAGCACCGGTCGTTCACACTTGAAGATGAAATAACGGCCTTGTTTACTGATGTTGCCACATCAGATCGCGTGCCTGGGTTGGTCACGAGATGCTGAATTATTCGAGCTACGGAAATCAAATTCCGAAAACATCGTTTTTTGTAACATATTTTCGTGTCCACGCCCACTTTTGCAAAACCACACCCGAATTATAACTAACTTCGAGTCGCGGGCAACATAAATTGCTATTGTTGTTTGTCGTCCACATTTAGGAACTCAAACTGGAATTAACAGTTAACCGAACAAAACAAAAAATATATGTTGCCCGTAACTCGAAGTTGTGTTAACCTGTAATTTAATATGAAGTTGCAATGTGGGCATGGTTTCACAGAAGTGGGCGTGGCACTTAAAATATGTAAATTGTAACTCGATGTTTTCGTAACTCAAAGTCCGTAACTCGAACAATTCGTTATCCGCTTTCGCATACTGGTTGGAAAAATTCTAAACATACGACGTCACAGAGCGTAATCGTTCCATATTTGGAATTCGCATTTTCTTATATGGTAGGATGAAAATGTCCTGTAAAATAATTCAAATATTATGTGTAGTAGGACATTATGTGGTTGATGTTTCTTTTGTTGTTTTTAAATTTGTGATGTAATTTTGAATATTTGTTTTTAAAGACTGTACTTAGCAAATTTGGGACATGGGCATCTTAAAATAGCGATATTCGGTGTTCCAACAATTTGCATCCATGTAATGGAGAAAGGATCTTCTGGGTAGAGACGAATCGTGCGGGTTGGTGATGGGTATGAAGTGGCACATTGGCTCTATGGTAAAATCAGTGAAGGTACTGTACGACTATTGCTGGCTGAAATGTCTTTGCGTGGAGTCAAACCTCAGTAATATGAGTAATATGGTCCATGCAACTACTAAACCTCCCAGTTTATACAAACTTTTAAAAATTGATAATATTATAATTACATTCCACCAGAGGTACATTACTTGGGGTTTGCAACTACGGTGACATGATACCAAGATCCCATTTCAATCTCGCTCTCGCATAAGCGTTCTAACTCAGAAAACTGCGAATGCGCATGCCCGAGGTAACTAGGATACTGTGATGTCCAGGTGGATCAAAATGGCTGCTCACGATATGACGGATTCGATAACTATATTTTCTGTACATTTTCGATGTATTACATTTTTTCACTATGAATTTGGTAATACATGTTTTATTGTTTTATTACAAACCGCCATGTCATGTCTGAAGGTCGTAGCATCTATCTCGCTATCTACGAGATGAGACTTGAATGGGATTATGGCATGATGTCATCATACAATACTATGCGCGTTGCAAACCCCA